ACCCACCTCCTAGATCTTCACGTTACATGACCCCCCGCTCCAGCCTAGGGCCACGGTCACCGTCACAACCAATGTCTCCCTTCACACCACACCTACAGCCAGCCCTCATCTGCCCCCACTCCCTGTACCCTCGATCCCACCCTCTCCTGAGATATTAGGGCCTTGCTGCAGGACGATTCCCAGTCACCTGCCACTGAAATGCAGCTCTGCTCCCGCGACCTCTGAGTTAACATCTCCCACTGTTCGTCTGTTCTTAAAAGCAGGTCTGCCCTCACAGTACCTGTTTCCTCTGCTCCCATTCTCTTAAAGCTAATGAAGAACTCACTTATCCAAAGGCTTGTTGCTAGTCTTCTTGTTGATTTCTAGTTCTGTTAACATTAAACTCATCAGTTCTTTGTCATACATTTTATCCAAGATGGTTCTAGTTTTTGGTTTTTTTTTTCAGTGAGCTGAGATCCGCCACTGCACTCCAGCCGGCGACAACGCAAGACTCCGTCTTAAAAAAAAAAAAAAAATCTTATGAGTATGGTTTCATATATATATTTTTTTACCCGTAAATACTTGACCACTTGGAACTTCTCTTAGTATGAAAAGAGTCTAATCCAACTTTTTCTCTTTCACAGGGTGGTCCAAAAACGTTCAGAGCCTGGGTAACTTGTTGCAAAGTTTCCTAGTTCCTCATCCAACACAGGCCCCTTTGTGCCACGCTGAATTCGCTGATGTATTTGGCTTATTTGTGACCTATTCCTTGTTCCAGGAATCTGTTTTAACAGGGCAGCCATCGTGCTTGATTTCAATTAACAATGTTCTAAAAACAAACAGAATTTAAAATGATTTCTGGACTATTCTTGCGTATTTGCTTTTCGGTTTAACTTTAGAATCAGCTTGTGTTTTAAAGGAAAGTTTTCCTTTAAAGATATCTTAAAGATACTGTACAGTGAAATTGTGAGAATAAACACAACTTTCACTTATCAGGGCCTGATGTTCCTTCAATAATTTCATAAATACCTTTTGCATAGGTATGTTCCCCTAATTAGGTTACTAGGTATCTTTACCTTTTTGGGTTGCTGTTTTTTTTTTTTTTTTTTTTTTTGAGATGGAGTCTCGCTCCTGTTGCCCGCGGCTGGAGTGCAGTGGCCGGATCTCAGCTCCTGCAAGCTCCCGCCTCCGGGTTCACGCCATTTCTCCTGCCCTCAGCCACCGAGTAGCTGGGACCTACAGGCCGCCCGCCACCCTCCGCCCGGCTAAGTTTTTTGATTTTTTAGTAGAGACGGGGTTTCACCCATGTTAGACCAGGATGGTCTCGATCTCCTGACCTCGTGATCCCCCCGTCTCAGCCTCCCAAAGTGCTGGATTACAGGCTTGACCCACCGTGCCCGGCTGGGGTTGCGCTTATTGAAAAAAAATGATCCTCTGGTGAGGGTGCAGTGGCTCACGCTATAATCCCTAGCATTTGGGGAGGCTGAGGCAGGAGGT